CTGATGGGATGTCAGATAATGACATCATCTTGTTGTATTCATGTATTTTTATTGTTTACTCTTCCACTCTGGTTCCTTAAATATTTTATTTTTTACAGATGTTGAAAAATCATTGAACCCAGAGTTTTTGATCTCCTTTTGTAAATGTTTTTTGCCTGAACGATATTTTTTGATGCCTTCTTGTAAATGATAAACTGAGAGTGGGCGTGGCTTAAATCAGAGTATAGTGCTGGAATTATATTATATATTATATTTACTGACCGCAATGTATTGCAGATGAATCAAGAAGTGCTGACATTGATAACATGCAAATGAGATGTAATTAAGCCAATCAGCAGTCTGATATTGAAACAAGCCTGCTAATTGGATGATAGGTGTGAAATGGTATTGAATGAGATGGATTTTTTTTTTTTGGTACTCAGTAGTTTTGAAGTCATTTGGTCAGGACCGTGAAGGCATTGATCCCTTAATTGTGAAAATTCTTTCAAGTGTTGTATTTTTGTCATTTCGCCTGCCCTTCATGCCTCTGCAGGCGTCTTGTGTTGAATTTGTCGCAGAGACTGTATTATAATGTTTGATCTGAGGTTGTTTCAGTCAAGTTCTGTTCAGCGCCAGGTTACAAAAATCTACATACACAGAGTTAAAACACCTGCAAGTTTCTCCTTTGTTTTACCAACAGTTCAGGCACTGCAGCGCTGCTCAGGTCTCTGGAGGCGAGTTCCTCAGTGAGTCAGGCTGTGTGTTTTTGGGGAAAACGCGGTGTTTGTGGCTGTGGATTCCCTGTGGGAGGGTTAAATATAGCCTGACGTTGCTCAGCTCTGCAGGAGGAGCACCTTCACTTCCAATTAGAGGCATCTCCGTCTTTGAGGAGAGGCTTTCCAACTTAAGGCCTTATAAATAACGCATTATGTTTTTGGAGTGAATTTACTCGTATATTAAGCAGCTTTATATCAATGAAAATGCACTTATGCAAAGAGATTACAGATCAGTATCACTTTGAGGATGTAAATATCATAAGCAGTGTGTTCATGAAATTTTGAATTTTTTTTACAAATATTTTTGGAAAAGATTTATTTTCAAATTTTTAATGTTTTCTATTTTTTAGTTTAGATTTTTATTTGTTTTTTGATTTCAGTTCAGTTTCAGTCAGTTTTAAAGATGCATTTATAACTTTGATAAAGGTGTCTATATTTTCTGAAAACAAGGTTTTAATTGTAGTTTTTAGTTGTATGATGTGAAACTGTGATAGTAGGTATTTGACAGTGACAGTTCAGAATGTGCAACTTCTACCGATACTTCAGAGCTCTGTTAGTGAGATTTAACTCAGTGTAGACTGACAAGAATTTAATGCATTAAACCAAAAAAAACCCTTGTCTTTATGAACTTCTGCACAAATGTGTCTTCGAAAAATTTAAAATCAGACATCAGCATCACTTTCCTCATATCTGTGCAACCCTAAGTGAAAGCGCTGTGAAGAAGTGTTTGCCCCTTCCCAATTTCTTCTAATTTTGCTGATTTGTCACACTGGAATGTTTCAGATCATCAAAGGAATTTATTGAAGGAAAAATGCTATTCAGCCCTATCTGGCCCGGTGTGAAAAAGTAATTGCCCCCTTAGCTATTTGACTATTGGGTTCAATTTCACTGCCACACCCAGACATGATTATTGCCAGACCTGCTGAATCCAAAAAATAACATAAATAGAACCTGTCTGGCAATGTGAAGGAGACTAGAAGGTCTACAAAAGCAGACCATGATGCCACGTTCTAAAGAGCTTCAGATACAGATGTGAAACGAAGTCATTGAAGTCTGTCAGTCTGGAAAGAGATACAAAGCCATTGCTACGGCTCTGAGACTCCAGTGAACCCCAGTGAGAGCCGTTATCCACAAATGGAGAAAACATGGAACAATGGTGAACCTCCCCAGGAGTGGCTGACCTACCAAAATTTCACCAAGAGCTCATTGATGACTCATCCAGGAGGTCACAATAGAACCCAGACGGACATCTGAAGAACTGCAGGCCTCACTTGCCTCAGTTAAGGTCACTGTACATGATTCCAGAGCTGCTCATGTTGTGTTTATCTTGTAGTAAAATTAGTTGAATGACCTGAGATGTTTAAATGTGATAAATTAGCAAAAATAGAAGAAATCGGGTGGGAGCAAGTACTTTTTTCACAGCACTGAATGGCAGGACTCATTTTCTCCTAAGAGAGGCTTGTTTAGATTATTCTAGGTGCTCTGGAATTGTTTAGAAATTCGACACGTGGCCAAAACTATCTCGAAGATGTTTTTGCTAATCCTAAACCTGAGACGTGTGTTTATGGGATAAAATAATGATGGGCTCTGCTCACCTCAGCCCTAATCCTCACACATCCCATAATATTGCTGTTTCTTCAGTCAGTGGTTTCATCTCTAAGCTCTCTCAGTTGAGGATTATCTCTCCCTTAGTTGCCATGGTGACTAATCCCATAATGGTGTTTTTTTATGTGATGTTATTAATCCATTTGGACCTGAGTGGACAGGTGTGCTGGTCTCCATGGACACGGTTGCCCCAGGTGCATGGTTGCCAGGAGAACGTTGATTTGCAGGTTCAAGAGGTTGAAGCTTCAGTCGGGCTCCATTCAGGACGGCTAAAATCTGATTAAGCAGAGTTAAAACGTCTGCTGCTGCCTTTCTGCGTGGTCAGATGGTCAGTCAGTTTTATTCGTCTCTCCGTGTTTGATTAGTTCTGCTGACCAGTGTAGAAAGTAGCAGTGTAATTATAAATCAGTTCTGAGCTGCACACTGATTTGCATGGCTGCCATGGTTTTTCTATGGAAAAGCCAGAAGCTTCATTCATCAACCGTTCTTAAGAAATTTCTTCTTAAAACCCACTTACGCAGTTTTCACGAAGACTCTGACATCCACCAGTGTTTTCTTCTTAGGTAAGAACAGAATCGACACACACTCAAGAGCACAAAGGTTAGAACAGTTTAAGAACGCGTCTTTAATCTGACATTGCGTTTTCATGCACTCAATAATCCGATAACTACAGAAAATCAGATTTTGTCAGTACTCCGATCAACACGTTTACATGCACTTGAGTAATCAGATAATGGGGAAACTCCAGGTGTCCATGGGTTAGGCAGTGATCGGATTTCTGCTTTATATCCGGCCAATAAACTCCCAGAAGAAGACGTGGCGTAAACGTAATGTAAAACTGTAAAATCTAGAAGATGAAGAATATTTAAATCCTTCATTTGGTCAAGAATGTGTTTGGTTTCGCTCCAAAAGTGTTTTGCTGCGTCTCGCGGCGACGCTGCTCGCTTATTTCTGGTACCGCTGTTCAATGAGCGCGTTTACATGTACTTAATAATCTGATAACTACAGAAAATCAGATTTGTCAGTTATCCATGTATATGCTCTTGAGTAATCAGATAAAGGGGAAACTCCAGGTCTCCATGAGTCAGACAGTGTTCGGATTTGCTGCTTTACATCCGGCCAATAAACTTCCAGAAGAAGACGTGGCGTAAACATAACGTAATACTCAAACTTTATGCTGCGGCTTCTTTAAAAACATGCCTACTCTAATTTTACAGCAGAGCTGCAGTGGTCTCTAGAGTGAGGTGTTGCCCTTTAAAGACTCCCCACCCGCATTCTGATGATGTATCTTGAAGGTGGGAGATACTTCAGGGAGGGTTTTTGGGCATGGGCTGTTTTGAAATGCAGAAGGGTGGCAGATATCTAGCATTAATGCAAGAAGCCTACATATCTTAAAGCCATATAATTGTCCTCAAATCACCATTACGGAAGAGAGAATGGATTAACGATAGAAACTCCTCAAACTAATGAAATGCCTTGTCAGATGAGGACGACTGGCATCCATTATTTGCTGAATAAAAATAGAATTACTGTTTTTTTTTAATGTTTTTTAATTAATGGTTTTGAATACTGAGGTAAAAATTACACTAATGCTAGCTTGGTTGTGTTTATTGGCCTTAAGCTGAGTAGTTAGGCAAGTAGGCAGGATTGGTTCACGCCACAGGGATTACCAGTGGTTGTATGATGTGTTTGAGAAATGCATGCTGGGTATTGTAGTGCAGATAGAGCACTGATGAATGAAAACATGAAATCGATATATTCTGTTGTGAATTCTGTCGTAAATTCTGCCTCATGAGGTTGAGGGAAAACAGTGCCCTACAGAATATTGAATAACACGACAAATTACATCAATCTCTCTATGCTTCTCTTTAAAGGTTCACCTGATTTTGTTGGAGTTGATTGTAAAATGAAACTGAAATTTGGCAGATCTATCATTGTTTGTATGTTACTAAATGGAATCATATACTCTTAAAAATGGTGCTTCAAGGGTTCTTTAGTAAAGAAAATGGCTCTATACAGAACCATGAACACTCAAAAACCTTTAAAGCATGATTAAAGGGTTCTTTGCATTATGAAAGGGTTCTTCAAATTGGAGAATGTGCTGTAGATGGTTCTATATAGAACCTTTTTTGAAAAGGGGTCTATATAGCACCCAGAAGGGTTCTTCTGTTGTTACTGTGTAAAGCTTGCAACAATGGAAGGATCCTTTTGGGTGCTATATAGAACCCTTTTCAAAGGGGTTTGATGTAGAACCATCTACAGCACATTCTCCATCAATCTGAAGAACCCTTTCAAAATGCAAATAACCCTTTAATCATGCTTTAAGGGTTCTTTGAGTGTTCATGGTTCTGGATAGAACTATTGTGTATCATCAGTATATTAAATTATTGGCTTAAATTTAGATCAGATCAATTTTGGTAAATATTTACACCCCAGAAATGCTGTGTTTACTAAGAATAAATAAGGCCGATAGCTGGATATTCGTAAGAGGATATTAATTTTTTTTTTTAAATTAATTTTAATTTAATTAATCTGAATGAGTGTATATCTCTTTCGTCACGACCCAAGGGTTATTTGGTGGATAAATTTCTTTCCATTCATCTCCTTTAAGCGACTGAGTCTTTAACTGAGCTCCTGCAGACATGCTGTTGGACCTGAGTGATCTGCTGCAGGTGAGCTATGATTTATTTATTTATTTGTTTGACCATTTTACCTTTTAATACCATAATCGGATCATATTTGCTGGGTAAAAGTGCTGCGTGTGTGCAGACGGTGCGATTAGAGGGATAAATATAGTATCACGTGCGTCTGCATTTTTAATCTGAGTGATTCAGCAGGACTCTGATATTTGCCTGAGGGGAAGTGCCTGTGTTGGGTATTTTCTCAGACTCTCTCACAGCTGGTGTGGATGTTATATAGTTTTACTCTCCCAGCTGTCGTGTTAAACGCCTCTTCTGCCGACTCTCTCATAGCCACACACACACACAGACGCTCCTGTGCTGAACGGAACCCATAAATTCCCTCAGTCTCCCTCATACAGCAGCTTTTTTCAGGCGTGCGTATGGAGGCCCCTGTCATTATAAAGGCCATGACCTCTAACTCCTCCTCAAAGGAACTTCTCTTTTAATGGCATAGGCCCAGATGGAGGGGTGGGGGGGCATTTTTATCCAGCTTCCAGTGGAAGATGTAGACAAGATGTAAACAGTCGTTCAGAGTGGTTTGGTGTGAAATGCTTGTTCTAGAGAAACGTAATCAGAATTGTTCACAGTGGTGGTGATAGGAACCAGACGTCCACCTCTAAAAGCTCCCTCGCATAAAGGTATTACAAGTGAAGTGGTTATGAATACGACTTGTAACATACATGGTTTGTTTTTGTTTTTTTCAAACATTTGATTGTTAGAAAAAATCATAATAAGCTTGTGTACCACTGATAATGCTGCTGTTCCTAAGAACTACTGATTATTCTTATCGCAGTGGCTTTAGGAGACTCTTATCTTCAGGATGTTAGAAAATTTGCTTTGGGACTCACTATTCCCTCTCATTATTTTGCCCACCTCTGCCAGACTTAAAGGGCCCACAGCCTATATTTTTCCCCACTTATGACACTTGTGCAGGTTTATGCACCAAAAACAGTCATATTCAGGTTTACAAGACCACTTTCTAACCTCTCTTTATCTCTTAGAGTTAAACAGGCTGTTTTTGTTTCTTGGCCTTTAAGGAGCTGAAATGCTCCTTATAATGTCAGTTATAATGGATGAGTGGGGCTAAACTGTTGTAGGCTGGTTTTTGTGACATCACAAAAAACAATGAATTCTACACAGGATGTTGTCAATAATATCTGTCTGCAGAGCCACAGTTTCACACCAGCAGGTTCACTCCAGCAGGTCCAAGCCAGTGGCATTCAGCACATGGGCCGACATTTGTTTTGGTTTTTCTTAGAGGGTTTTAGGCTGATCAGCATTTCAGTCGTTTTATATGGGTTTACAATAAATTTGTAATAAATTTGCGTTGGGCTAATGTAATATTTTAAGCTTTAGGCTGAAACAAACGTTGATTTGAACACATATAGAGATTCACAGGGTAAATATTACTTAAACTAGAGCTGATGTGGCGGGTAAACTAATGGGTTATGTATATATAGAGCTAATTTAACTTGGCCTTAGTATGGGGGGCTTTATGTGTACACTTACATTACATGTGCAGGAATAAAACTTAACCTTAAGCAGCTTAAACTGAGCATAATATTGAGCTTTAGGATAAAACTTTAATATTTAAACATATCTCTGCTGAAAAAATCAATAGAAGCCATTCAGTGTTTCTTTTGGTTTCTGATGGTCTCGTAATGTGTTTTGTCTGATGGTTTAACCGGTAACCAGTGGTTGATTCCTATACTGGCAGCGGTCTCCCTTCCTGAAGGGTAACATGCACTGCGACACATACAACCAGCACAAACAGTCGCTGTTTACATCAGAGACGTTATAAATGAGGAGACCGGCCACTGGTTGAAATATGAATGGGACGCTCATAACGCTCAACTTTCCTATAAGGACTTTGTTTACATGGCACAATCATGCTGTCCTACTGCACGTATTCCACTGGAGTGGAACTGTGGGTGTAAATCTGCGGCTCTGCAGTCAGGCCCTTCTCGATGTTTTTGCTGTTTTTGATTGCTAAACACATGTAGATCATAATGCATCAGGGAAACTGGTGTAAACAACACTTACTACATACATCAAACTGTTTTATTTCAAAATGGCTATGATATGGGTCCCTTTAAGTCTTTTCAGGGTTTTGTCTTTTGGTTCCTACCACATTTCTCACATTGTACCCCAAATGCTGCATGGAAAAGAGAACAGATCCAGAAAGAGAGAACAAAAGCTCATTGTTATTTTTTAAGCAAAGTCAACCCTAGTTATCGTCAGAAATACTGTGAGCTCAGCTCTTTTTCTGTTTCCTTCTCTCCTGCCTCATTTCTTCCCTTCCTGGTCTTATCTACTCTTCTATTCTCTCTCTCTAGGTCAACGTTTACGTTCTGGGAAGAACATTCTTAGCATTAGCCAAAGAGCTATGCATCAATGCTCCAGCTATAGGTAAGTCTTCCATACATTTTTATACTGTAGATATTTTTAATATGTCCAGAGTCAAGTGCAGTGATTGCAGTGACAAACATTTAACTGCGCTGATACACAAGGCCGTTGCCCTTTTTGTAAGTTATTTCTGGCCAAGTCAGTACATAGTGCAGTACTCACGTTTGCACATAGAGGGCGCTGTTTCACTGCAAAACAACTCATTGGCTGATTTGAAAGCTGCATTTTTGCTGACTTTGAGTACTTTTGTTTCAAACACAGCATTAAGAAAAGCACACCAGTTGGATTGTTCACATCTTTTAACTTTCTCACTTTATTTTTAAGCCAATTAGGGAATTGCAACTGGCAATCTGTTCAGCCAGTACGCAGCATTGTGTTGGTCAGCGTCAAGCCATCAACATGTAAACATTAAATTTGAAACAAAAACAATACATTAGTAAGAGCTGCCTGTTCCAAGTGCAACACACCCCTACATGTTAGTTCATGTCAATAATTAAAAAATAAAATAAATTAAAATAGTTTTTAAAATATTAAAATAATAAGCTTAAGGTAATAAATAAGATTGCAGAGCTAAAGTGTGAGCTGTTGACAGTCCAGTCAAACGAATCTCTCTCTGTTCTGTATAGTCTTTCAGCATCATTGTTAGAATTACAACCAAATAATCCCTCGGAGGTGAACCCTCATGCATAGAACACTAGTTCTGGAATCTGTCCTCCCTGTACCCCTGTCCCGTTGGTGCTGTCCGACGAACACTGAAACTGGAACGTAACTTTCCCGCACTGCACCTCTGTCATGCCCTCCTGTCCGAAATAACTCAGCTCGCTGCCGTCCAGCACGGCGCTAACAGTGTAGAAAGCGTCCGGCTCAACCTGCACCGGGTGCTCAAACCACACAGGAAACGTCGAACTTGATCCATCTGAGACGAACGTGGTGATCCTCTGGGCTAACAGCGCCCCCTGCCTCTTCAGCTCGATCCGGACGGCGTATTCGGCTCGGCCACCGCTGGAACCGTACAGGCTGATTCCGGCTAAAAATATGCGTCTGTCCGCCGCGAACTGGACGCTGTCGCAACGGCCTCTGTATCGCCACTGGTTGCTGCGGTAGGCGGCTGACTGGAAACGGCGACAGCGCTGTGGGCGGAGCCCTGACCTGGCCCTCAGCGGAAACTCCAGTGCTGGTTTTTTGGCCGCGGTGAACCAGAGGAAAAGGTCCCGCGTCTCCTCTAGAGTCAGTATTTCAGAGTGGGCGGGACCATTAGCGAATTCCTCCAGGCTCATGGCCGGAAGGCGCAGGAGGTACAACGCCTTGCCCAGAGCAGAGCGTTTGTGCTGGGGCGTGGGGTTCAAGCCTCGCCTCCTGCACTCTGACTCCGCCCAGTTCAGTGCCGCCTGCAGCACTGACGCCTCCTTGATGTTGAGCGTGTCGCGGCTCAGGACGCTCTCCAGTGTGGCCGGGTCGATCTGGCAGAACCCCTCAGAGCACAGGGCCACCTCAGCCTGCGCATCGATCACCTCCCAACACCTCCGGGTCAGCTCCGGCTCGTCAAAGAGCCGGCTCTGCCACAGCAGCACACAGGCGTTTCGTGCCTCCAGGCCCGTTTCCAGGAAGTGCACGCACGCCCGAGCCAAAGGAGACACCAGGTACTTCTTGGCCGCGTACAGGGTGGCCAGGACTGTGTCGGCCTCCAGCTCGATCTCGTCACTGTAGAGGTATCTGAGGACAGAAGGGTTGAAGAAATAGTTTAGTGGAAAAGCAATATGTGCACAGTTTTCCTTTCACCCCAAATGTACTGAATCAGCCAAGACATGCTTGGTGCTATTGTGGATGTCATGCAAGATTATGTCCCACCATTTAGCACTGTGCAAACTGCTTGCATCACTCATCAAACACTTGCCTATTACTGTACTGAGCTGTTAAGTAATCTCTAATAGACTTATGTGGTACGTAGCATAGCGAAAATCAGACACGGCAGCCACCTTGAAACCTGACTTTCCATGCTTTCGCTTATTTTTAAGTATATTTACAGGATAAGGGGAAATTGAGTACATTTGAGGTCCACTTATGACATTTATGTGGCTTTAAGTAACAAAAACAGTTTTTAACATGCCCATTTTTTAACCTCATGTTATCCCTCAGACTTAAACAGGTTGTTTTTGTCGCTGTACCGATATATGAATGAGCTCTGTTCCGATTGGCTGGCCTGTATTGCACTTTATTCACAAACACTCCTTATAACTTCAGCATTAATAGGCTGAGCTGAACTGCTGTAGTCTGAATAGGCAAGTAACAGTATATTTTGAAACTTTTAAGTGTTTACATACCATTTAAACTCTCTTATTTAAAAAAAGACAGTTTTCCATTATTTTGGCCCTTTTGTGCTGAACTACTGCTTTAAAAGGAAAGGACAAAGCTAAACTCGTCCAAATGACATTAACATAAAGCGTCTCTAACGAAGCGTTTAACATCAGAAGGCAGACAGCGAAATGGTTCTCTTGGCTTGTTTCCGCTGCTTTAAGCACTTTTTGCTACCTATTTAAAGCAGAATCGCAGATGATTCGAATCCAATAAATTCTCCATCATAGCAGAGAAATAAGAGGGCGGCTCCACTGAGACACCAGCAGTAGCCCTGTTATTTTTACCCACTAGTGATTAGGGAGTCTTACTTGAGCAGGATTAGGAAAGCGGTGGGCTCCACATCTGGAATGTGGATTTCCGTGTCTCCCTCAGCGAGGTCCCCATAAAACATGGCACAGAAAACGGAGCTCCCCACCGCCAGCACATACTGAGGAGGAAAATTAATGAGTGAGTGAATGAATGAATGAACTTACTTGCCACACTCTTCAGTAAAGGGTTTAATGGTGGATGGGAACTGACCTTATGGGCTGGGACCTTCGTTGATGATCCTGGAGGACCAACAATAAAGTGAACATCCGCCATGTGCTCGTTATTGAACATCTGAGCGTTCCTGGAAGAAAACGAGATATTAGTTCGCCTAAGTAACTTATAATGGAGAGGCCACAAAAGAACAGAAGACTGTGAAAGGGAAAGTCCATCAATTTTTCAGAAATTCTACATGACTGAATGGCTGGGATGAAAAGTGGTTTGGTGTGAAGTGCTCTTTTCAAGAGAAACTTACTGATTCAGAATTGTTCACAGTGGTGATGACAGTAACGAGATGTCTGAAGAGTTTAATGCCTCTGAGCTCCCTCACAGAAAGTTAGTACATGAAATGGTTAGATATGTGCTCTCCAATGCCTGACACACTGTAAAGTTTTGGCTTAAAATGTTTTTTAATCCATTCATGGTGGAGTATGCATGCTGGAGTGTCATAAGGCAAAATAGTTCCTAAAGAAAAACTGACTAGTTTATCTTCATCATCATTACATATAAAAACCTCACGTGTAGGTTCACTGGTGGTTTTGGACAGTAAATAAAATAGCTATATTTGTGTTGTAGACATGATGACCCCTGGTTCCTATGACCACCACTGTAAAGAAATCTGAGTCCCTACAATAAACCATTTCACATCAAACCTCTCTGAATGACTCTACATCTCAAGGTCTGGATTTTTCAGAAATTTTGAAAAACTGGTGGAATTCCCCTTCAAGCATAGTAGCTAGCGTTTTTTTAGTTCGTTTTGGGCCGTTTTATACTTCCTTATGAAAGCTGCAGTTAACATGAGCTATGTGTACAACAGTAGGTTATAATTTAATCAGTAAGGTTAGAAACTAGATATAAAATAAACTGTTTATGGAATTATCATTGGTGTTTATGACAAATCAATTTAAAACTAAAACATATTTTTAAAAATGTATTCTACCGTTATTTTAACATAACTGTCGCTTAGAATAACTTAAAATTAAACATAACTAAGCTGAAGTCAGCTTCTTGTTGGAATTTTCCCGTTCCACCTTAAATGGTGCGACAGTTAACGTTACATTCTGGCGCCTCAATGGCACTGCTGCACCATTTAAGGTGGAACGGGAAAGTTCTGAAAAAAGAAGCTGGGGAATAAGAAGCTGACTTCAGTCTCGTCAGAAGTTAGCTATGAAATTAGCCACCGTTAATATTCTTCAACGTTATAACGTGTTATAAAGGTGAGAAACGTTAAAATGCTGAAAATACGGTTGAAAAACTTAAGTCTGTCAGTATAAGTGGCTTCACCTCTCCCGCAGTGTAGGCTGAACGGAGCTGCTGCCGTTGTCGTTTATGTTGTTGTTATTGACGCTGTTGTTAATTTTGTTGTTGTTTACGTTGTTGTCGTGGTTCTGCTCGTTGACCGGAGTCACGGCGGCGGTTTCCGAGCTGTCCGTATCCGCCTCGCTGCGCTTCTTCTCGGCCTCGCCGCGCTCTGCGGTGCCTCCAGCCGGCTGTAGCTCCATCTTTCCGGGCTTAGCGGTGTGGCTGCAGGCGGGGTGGCGGGGCTTTTTCAACGAATCCGGGAGCAAGAGGAGAAAAGCGAGACACTTCATGACCCGGCCATGATGGAGCGACCTGCATAGTGCTGCAGAGGGCATCAGAACTTGGACCGTTAAAATAAACTCGTTCCGAAAACTTTAACGTTAATTCCAGCTTCTCCTGCGATAAAAGGCGCTCTTAAATCGCTCCCAGTTTCTTCCTTCTCATCGCATCCTCTCCGAAATCGTCTCACGCCAAATAATGAGCTTTTTCTCCTTTTCTCGTCCACATTTCAGTCCGCTCTTCGTTTTTCAGCTCGCACTGCGTTTTGTTAACGCTCCCTCCGGACCTCTTCTTTTGCTCAGCGATAACGGTTTGTGAGCTCGCGCTGCTCCAACTTCTTCGTTTTGTATGTAGAAGCTTTGCTTTGCCGCGCCCCCTCGTTTCCTGCGACCAATCAGCTGCTCTGGCGCTACTGACGTCAGGGATTAAAGGACCCATCCCCTTTATACAGGCGTGTAGTGCCAAACATCTGTGTTTAGTGCAGTGATAACCAACCCTGTTGCAGATTCAGCTCAGTTTAAGTGTGCTTTCTACAACAGACTTCCGTGCAGGAGTTTAGCAGGGTTGAATATTATTAGATGCAATCTGGAGCAACTATGTCTGATTTTATTTTAATCCTGTTTTTCAATTTTGGGTGTGTGGTCATTTGAAAAAGACACTATGAGAAAAATAATAGTGATGTAATGCTAAATCCATAGATCCCCGACAGTTAGAGATAAACCTAGTTCTGTTCAGGATGATTTTTTTTTTTTGTTTGTACGTTATTCTGCTGATCAGATGTCCCTATTTATTGTCAAAGGTGGATAAATTATTTTCTTAAATTAGTTTATTAATGCACTTCACAAGTGGATCAATGTAAAGTTTTATACTTGGCATATAAGGAGCACTGGAATATGTAATACTATTTGAAGATTAGCACATTCTTTGCCACTCCCATTGCCGTTCCAGATGTTCACCTTCCGGCTCGAACATAAACATGATATCTGCCTAAGGTCTGGCATTAATCATTAAGTTATTTATTGTTCATCATTTAATGTGAAAGGCATGATGTGATCGCTGTAGTAAATGCCGTCAGATGACTAATATGTGATGAAAATAATGAATTATTACATAATTAACTACTAGTAAGCAGTGCTGCCACCCCTTATATAAACTGCTTCTTGACATGATTTATAAATGTGCTGCTATTCCCGTTTTCATGCCTCAGTTCTGCAGAGCTGTGTTTATATTCTGCAGATTGGTTTGACTCACATAAATGCTGATCTCAGCGTACTGAGTACTGATTGCACAGTAATTTGCGAAAGTAGTGATCTTAAAACTCAGCTAAAAAAAAAATACAGATACCTGAATTGTCTCTTTTAAAATGTTATAGAGTATGTCTCAATTTTCAGTCCCCCCAAAAACTAAAATGTCAGTGTCACAAAAGCACACTGATCAATGAACTGATCATAGACAGGGTCTCCATGAAAGATGGTTAATGATAAACACTCATTTTTAATATTGTTCAACAGTATAGAAAATGAATGCATTTACCTGTACTTAATAATCTGATAACTGCAGAAAATCAGATTTTGTCAGTAATCCGATCAACGCGTTTACATGCTCTTGAGTAATCAGATAATGAGGAAACTCCGGGTCTACATTAGTCAGACAGTAATCAGATTTCTGCTTTGAAATCAGCCAATAAACTCAAAGAAGAAGATGTGAACGCAATGTAGAACTCAAACTTCATGTCACAGCTTTTTTTTTAGTTGAAATCGCTGCTCGCTTATTTCCAGTGCCGTCTGTTTTTGCACATGCTCAGACTAAGAAATTTGAAAAAAGTCAAAGTAAGAGTTTATATGCGCTGAGAAATCTGATTACTGAGCTAAAATCCAGCTCTCTTTATTGGATTTCCTAATCGGATTTCTAGACCTTACTCCAGTCTAAGAAGTCAGAGTATGATTTTCACATGACCATTTGAATAATCAGGTAACGGATGGAATCTGATTATAATCAGACTATTGAGTGCATGTTAAAGCAGTCATTGTCGCAGTTGTAGAGGGTGATATGGGTGTAAAGTCTTCAGTTGGTCTGTTCAGCGCTGGCGTGTTTTTGCAGATCCCTGCCTGTACATCCCGCGGTTTGCACACATGTTGGAGTTCGGAGAGAAGAGCCACGAGGTGTCCATGACAGCGCTGCGGCTGGTGCAGAGGATGAAGAGGGACTGGATGCACACGGGACGAAGGCCCTCTGGGCTCTGCGGAGCAGGTAACCATGGCAACCCCCTGTTATTGGCGGTGACCTTTTTTAATGATGGTAGACCAGTCACAAGCATGTAGACGCAGATTTGGTTTTACTGAGCAAGTAAAATATCACCAGCAACAGATCTTGTTATGAGCTCAGACATACTAAAGAGTAAATCAGTTAAAGGGAGGAGGATACAGCAGGAGAAAATGTATATGTTAAAGTTAATACAGTAATAACAGTGTTGTTAATGCATTTTCCTAGTTTGACCCTTTGAACGGTCTGCAGTAGTGCAGACTGAGGCCCAGCTGGAGTGCACTGGAAGTTTCTATGATAAAATCTGCGAATGTTGCCTTCTCATTCAAATACAGCTTTTAAATGGCTTTTAAAGTGTTATATTCAACAGAATACACTGGACATCTTGCAGGAGAGCTATGGATAAATCAACAAGCAGCAGACTACCAAAAGCAACAGCAAAGTGGAAGCAAAAAAATGTGATTGTGCCCTAAAAAATGATAAATATTTAATAAAATAAAAATAAAATGTCATCATTTAATTTAACTTTTCTTCATAATCTTTTGCTTTGTGTTATTCTACACTCAAAAAATGAAGTGTTTCTCGTCACGCAGTTTTCAAGCTAGGACCATGAAACTTTGCAGGATCGTAGGGCCTATATCCGATTAGGTTGCTTGTGCTTTTCAAAGCGATCCGATGTATTTTCCCGTAGGAAATTAACGGCGGAATGTTCAGAACATTAAAGTCTAACTGAAGTGATGTCACAATGCACATCCCTCACCAAGCCACTCACACACAGTACAAACAGATTCACACACTTAGCCTAGTGCACAGCAGTAACCACACAAATAATGAATTTAAGGTGGCGCTGCATTTAAGGTAGCAGTGAATTTAAGGAGGCACCGGATTTAATGTATCAGTAAATTTAAGCAGGCAGTAAATTTAAGGTGGCACTGGATTTACTGTATCAGTAAATGTAAGTTGCCCCTGGATTTATTGAATCAGTAAATTTAAGGTGGCAGTGGATTTAAGGTGGTACCATCAACAGTTTGCCACCATTTTAAAGTAATTCGCTGGCTTTTTAAAATTTTTTCACAAACTATATATGTATATATGTAGTGTATGTATTACGTATAACGTTCCATTTCCATGTGTTGCATTTTGTACAATAAATCTAAACCTATCATGTTTTGGTGCTATTTTATTAAAAAATTATTAAAAAAATGAAGCTTTTAGACTAGTGAGGGCAATGTCAGCTCAAACATGATCTCCTTCTTGATCATACTTTAAAACATCCAGTCTCAGTCTTGGCCACCACACATTTCTTAGATCCTCTAACTTCATTGAACTCTTCACTCCCAGCTGGTATCATTTACGCTGAGCACCAGCATTAAGGCGAGTGTGAAAGCCACAGCTGAGCCACCAAGAAATCTAGAATTCTCTTTCTTCGAGCTCCCATCAGAAACAGGAGCTTCCTGCCATCAGTCATTAACGTGCTGAATAAACAGCTTAATGGACAGAATTTGGTATGCCAGTGTACTAAGATGGTAATAAACACCCTATAAGCATTAGATCTGAAACTGGACTGTAGATCGTCTTTGTGCAACAGGGTTTCTTTTTATATAGTCTCCCATGCATGTTTTATGACGCAGTGGATTTGCCTTTTTTTCTGAGGACGTCCAGCACACTTTTAATGAGGACGTTTTCATTAAAAATGTTTGAATTGGTTCCAGGGTGCTGGATTATTATAATTTTACAGTATCACATTATCACTTCTTTTGCCTTCCAATCTGAACTGGGAACTTGAATGTTGAGCATCAGCTGTTTTCACAGATAATACTGCCATGCAAATTAGGTGAGATGGGCTCATCTGTTAATGAATACTGCAGTAATATAGCTTCTGCTTTATGGGCATAATGCAACATTCTAGACTGATATTTGTTTTTGGCCTGTTTTAGAAATGATCATTTTGTGTGTTTTAGTATTGATTATGAACCAGTTTGACTGACATCTCAGAAGATTTGGCTACCATTTCCTTTATTTTTTGATATGTGCAGTGGTTCAATACAGAGTCCGCATTGATATTTCTTTTTTGGGGGGCTGCTTATAGTATTACTCATTTTATACTGCTGCAAATATGCTACGAATTCATATTCATGCCTGTGCAATAGATTGTTCTTGTTATTTGGTTTTGTAAGCATCGTTAAATACCAGTTTTAACCAAAAAGCAGTGCAGCATTGGCGGCAGTAAAGCAAAACACTTCCATGATGTTTTCATTTTTAACTAGTCCTGACTCGCGAGTGAAAACTGTCACAGGAGTGTATTTCCTACATGATGTTGAGGGAATGCTGCTTGCAGTACTTTGCAGAAAGTGGAAGCGTAATAGCCGCACTATTAAAGAGGGAGCAAAGGATAGGAAATGGATTATTTCAGATATAACATGCAGTGGTTTGGATCGAGATATCACTATCTCTTATAAATTCTGTCTCAGGGCAACGCAGATAAACTTGTTCATACATTTGTTACAAGCTTTGATCACTGTAATGATCTTCTTCCTGAATTTCATCCTTATAACTCGTACAAAATGCATCAGCATCCTAACAAAAACAACACAGAGAGATCAGATCAGTCCCGCTTTTAAAGGGCTGCACTGGCTGCCTGTATCATTCAGAATAGATTTTGAAGTTCTGCTACTAGTTTTTAAGGCTCTAAATGAAGTTAAAGAACCGCTCACATCACAGAGTGTCTGTCTGTTTATGATCTTAGATCTGCAGATACTGACCTTCTGCAAACACCTTCAGTAAAATACAGAAAATGTGGAGAGACTCGTTTAGTTATTCTGCTTCTAAACTGTGGAGCTCAGTTCACTTTTCATTAGACAGTCAAGCTCAGTGCTCACTTTTAATAAACATCCAAAAATGTCTCTCTTTAACTCAGCATTTAATTAAAACTCTACGTCTCGTGGTTTATCTTTTAATTTGATCTGTGTCATTTTCTTATATGATTCTAAATTAATACTTAAGCTTAATTTAATTGTTAAGCTTAATCTCCTGTCTGTTATGCACTTTCAGCTGCCACCAGCATGAAAAGTGCTATATAAATAAAAAGTATTGTTGTTGTTGTTGTTGCTGTTGCTGTTACTATTATTAGTAGTGGTAGTAGTATTCAGTGACTACAGTGAAACTGCTATGCATGGTAAGGGTGGTCACAATATTTAACCCCACAGTACTTAAAGACAGAATGCGTATCACTTTATTTAGTTTTTCTGAGGTTTGTGAACAAGTTGGAACAGACAAAACGGACCAGCAGAAAAACAGTAGCGCCATATTTAAAAAAGGCTGTAGTACATTGAGTACAGACTTTTTTCAGTTCAACCTTTCAATTCAAGCAGTTTAAAACAAAAAAAACACATTTAAATAATTAATAAAACCAAATGAGTAAAATGGGATAACGCCATCAGCTGCTTGTTACTAGTCAGTTAATGCAGCTATTATACACTGGTTGTTGCTGTTGTTGCCGTTGTTTACAGACTCTGCAAACGCTATACCACTGCAGTGTAAACTCTTACATTGCTTCAGTGGCCAAAAACTACTATACCTGTGCGAATATTGGCACTTTCTCATCTCTCTTTACGCCTCCTTTTGAGCCGCGACCCCGGAGCAGTCATTAGAATAACAAACCCCGCCTTTTCCCCCCACTTTTTGATCTCTCTCTCTCTTCTCTCATCACTCTGTGTCCTCGTCTTCCGCTGAGCCTGAATAATTCATGGGATATTAATCTTTCAGGAGCTTGGAGATGGGAAGAGGGAGTTTATAGGAGTTTGTTTCACAGCGAGAGACCAAAGAGCGAGCGAGCGAGAGTGGGTGAGTGATGGAGAGAAACAAAGAGAGGGAGGCGATGAAGACACTGGTGCTGTCACTCACGTGTCCTGGTCCGTATTCACAGTGACTTTAGCGCAGATCTCAGAGTGGGATCAGAGGGGCCGTTTTGTAAGTGCGGTTGTGTAACTCTCAGGGCTCTGTAGGCTGGATCATGATGTACTTTCTAAACTCCATGACGGTCTTCTGTAACAATCATTGTGTTGGGTAAATATGGTAAAGTTCATGGCAGAGATATGCCATTCACTGTGGAGAGCACTGGACCTACGAGTCTAATGTGGCTAACGTATGCCAGTCGTATGCAAGTCATCACACGCTGGCCGAAAACTATCGAGTTGTTAAAGGGGAATTCCATCTTTTTTTCTACATTATAATTAAATGTATAATGAAACTATTGAGAGACAAAGTAAACTGAGTCATTCAGAGTGGTTTGGTGTGAAATGGTTCAGATTTCTTTCCAGTGGTAGTGATGGGAACCAGGGGTCACCATGTCTACAACACAAATATAGCCGTTTTATTTACTATTCGAAACCACCAGTGAACCTACACATAAACTATATGGCCAAAAGTGTGTGGACACCAATATGTCGCACCCATATGAGCTTGTTGGATGTCCCTTTCCAAAAACATGGGAATTAATATGGAGTACACCCCCCAACCCCTTTGCAGCTATTACAGCCTCCAGCCTTCTGGGAAGGCTTTTTGCAACATTTTGGAAAGTGTCTGTGGGAATTTGTGCCCATTCAGTCAAAAGAGCTTTTGTGAGGTCAGACACTGATGTTGGACGAGAAGGCCTGGCTCACAATCGACATTCCGGTTTATCCCAAAGGTGTTCAGTGGGGTTGAGGTCAGGGCTAATGTGTCTTTATGGAGTTCACTTTGTGCACAGGGGCTCAGTCATGCTGGAACAGGAAAGGTTCTTCCCCAAACTGCTGCTACAAAGTTGGAAGCATATAATTGTGTTAAAATGTCTTTGTGTGCTGTAGCATCAACATCTTCACTGGAACTAAGGGGCCTGATAAACAGCCCCAGCCCATCATCCCTCCTCCACCAAACTTTACTGTTGGCACTATGCATTCCAGTAGGTAATGTTCTCCTGGCATCCAGCAAACCCAGATATGTCCAATAGGCTGCTGGATCACTCAATATATTGATAACACTGTAGAAAAAAATGCATAAAAACATGCATTATCAGGGCATCTGCAGGTATCTGTAAATAAGCGCATTGGTGAGGTTCTGCTGGTGTGGGTTTCCTCTCTTTCAGTGATGCTCACTATTGTGACTGCTAATAGCTCCTCCTTGGGAAAATTGTTGTCTGTTTGGTGAGGCATAAGCTCATATTATTTGTACGCTGTGTTAGCCTTGTAGTTTCAGTGCAGAACAGGTCTACATTTGGTCAAAACAATGGTCTACATTTGGGTTAAGAGGGAAAACTGGGTAAAGATTTTCGTTATTAAACGGAATTTTTCATCACTTTATAAAAAAGCCTCTAAAGCTGTATTGGAGCTGGAGTAGTTTTATCTGCCAGGAAGCTGTAATTTGAGTGATTACCAACAAGATCTGTGATTTTAATCCAGTATGAATCTACAATATGCATTTTTTTTTTAAGTCTGTAAGTCTGCTAAGTAATAATTCCAGAATGAATTACCTTCTATAATTCACAGAACTCTGAGCTCCTTCAGTAACAGCAGTCCTGTTCCAATCGAGATACAGTAATGTAATAACAGCCAATATAATAACTGGGTAATAAAAAATGCCTCCTATTTTGTAACCTGAAGACAAGACTAACAGCTACAGTGGAGCTTGTTTTGACCCAATTCCTTAATCGTGAAGTTCTTGACAAGACTACTGAAATCCAAAACGTCTGTGTGATGATGTTTCGATCCGGGCTGTTGGTGATATTTCAGTGAAATTACACAGATACTTTATCCCGTATGAATCAGCCATTCAAATCCTGTACAAATTACATTACTGGACCTTCTCAGGTAAGTATAATCCAGCTCCAGTAGAGGCTTTAGGCAAAGGCAGGCGACGTTTTTCCTCAGTTTCAGGTGAGGCTCACATCTGTTAATTAACATGTTGCTTTGGGGGATGTAGTAATTAGAGTGGTTTCCTGCTGCTGAGAGGTGCAAAACGATTTCTCACCTTTTATTTTTCTCCTCAGACTCACTCTCATCACTTCAGAAACTGTCTGATACTTCAGAGGTCTATTACACCTGCTATACGGTATTGTCAGCAATAACAAAAGCATGCTGTGATTTTCTGTGAGGTATTTCTGACTCGTGGCGCGCTGAAACAAGCAGAGAGATTCTGTGAAAAGTGCAGATTCTAAACTTTCAGTCCATTCAGCATCTGTCTTTGTAAGTAGAAGGGGAGATAACTGGTTGAATCTGGTTCTAATGGTTTGAATCTGATAAAGTTCTTGTTGCATGTCGTTTTGTGGAAATTCTTTACATATTTTCAAAATGGAAATGCAGATGCGAATGCGCACAAATACACAAACTCATTGTGTATGTATTTAATTTGTAATTACATAATCACATTTGAATAGGAAAGCAAAATGGCAATATTTACCCTAGAATTCTACGAGTTAAGGCCTCATCATACTTCTTGCAAAGCGAAATTCTTGAGGCTTGTGTGAAGCTGAAAGTGCCTTCGAGAGCTTACAAGCTCGCATACGTTTACATTTACGGCATTTAGCAGACACTCTTATCCAGAGCGACTTTTTTTCCCCCACAGGCGAAGGTAGTGTTAGGAGTCTTGCCCAAGGACTCTTATTGGTATAGTGTAGGGTGCTTGCCCAGGCGGGGATTGAATCCCCAGTCTACAACGTAGAAGGCAGAGGTGTTACCCACTACACCATCAACATACTTTCTGCGGTTTCGTGTTGCCTGTCGCGGATGCTCCACATGACGCTGAGACATTTTATGATAAGTTTCATGACTGCTGGAAAACGATTCTTTCACAGTTCTATCTATGGCGACGTTTGAGTTCAGGATGCTGCCACCATTTAAGGTGGAACGGAAAAAGTTGATCAAGAAGCTGGAGAATAGAAAGCCAACTTCAGCCATCGTCCTCCTGTGAACCTAAATATAATATAACCTGTATGTTTTAGTGCTTCGTACTAGTTAGTATTACTGAATAACAGACTTAACATCTCACATTTAGGAGATATTCATTGATTTTTTTAACAATGCGCGTTTCACATTGAAATATTGGTGTGTCTGCCAAAGCCGAAGCTCATCAAAGTTGTTCATCTTTGTTTAATGGCATGCCTCTTTTTTACTGACCAATCAGAGGCTTTGTCGTGTGGCGTCTTCGTCTGCGGAGTTTGCCCAGCTGCCGTGTGTGTGCGTCACGGCGAACTAAGCCTTCGTGTGACGTTGTGGTTGTTCGTTTTGTCTGCAGTTATATCATCCTGTTCCCTGAAGCCAGGCGAACGTCGTCTCTGCAAGAGGTCTGCTGAGGCCTTTGGTGTTTGCTTTAGACTAAAGCTTTAAGAATTCTCAGCCAGTCTTATCCATAAGGGTCAGAAATGCTCGGACTTGCAAAAAGTAGAAACATCCCTGTTAGACACGCACACACAGCAGTACATCCATCGTCTCTTAGTTACTCACCCGTGGGCAGGTAGGAATCCCTGTCGTTCTGGCTCATATTTATTTAATACGCTAAAATGAAACAGCGATTGTAGCAAGAGAACATCTCCAGGTGCATTTGAAGCTTTTACAGGGAGCAGGTAGAGGAGATATTCTTTATTGAAGTGTTCATTAATGTTTTATTGTGGTGAACTTGTGTGTTTTATTCTCTCTCTCTCTCTCTCTCTCTCTCTCTCTCTCTCTCTCTCTCTCTCTCTCTCTTCCTCCCTCGCTACTCCTTCAGCACTCTCTCCCAACTTGCTGTGGTGTTTGTTTATATACTAACTCACTGATGTCTGTGTGGTTTACAGCTCTGCTGGTCGCTGCTCGCATGCACGAGTTTCGTCGCACCATCAAAGACGTGATCGGAGTGGTCAAAGTGTGTGAGGCCACGCTGAGGAAGAGGTGAGACATTAAAGGGCTTATATTCCACATCGTTCTTGAATTTTCCATTGTTTTCTATGCTGTTTTGTGGGTTTAAGTACCAAAATACAGCTGTGATTTATTCCCCTTAACCGTCTTCCAAGCTCTCTTCATCTCCTGTAATTAAACAGGCTGTTTGTTAGTGTTTCTTTAGTACTGATATACACCGGTCAGGCATAACATTATGACCACCTCCTTGTTTCTACGCTCATTGTCCATTTTATCAGCTCCACTTACTGTATAGGTGCACTTTGTAGTTCTACAGTTACAGACTGTAGTCCATCTGTTTCTCTGCATACTTTGTTAGCCCCCTTTTACCCTGTTCTTCAGTGTTCAGGACCCCCATGGACCCTCACAGAGCAGCTACTATTTGGGAGGTGGGTCATTCTCAGCACTGCAGTAACACTGATGTGGTGTCGGTGTGTTAGTGTGTGTTGCGCTGGTCTAAATGGATCAGACACAGCAGTGCTGCTGGAGTTTTTAAACACTGTGTCCACTCACTGTCCACTCTATTAGACACTCCTACCTTGTCAGTCCACCTTGTAGATGTAAAGTCAGAGACGATAGCTCATCTGCTGCTGCACAGTTTGTGTTGATCATCCTCTAGTCCTTCATCAGTGGTCACAGGACGCTGTTGGCTGAATATTTTTGGTCGGTGGACTATTCTCAGTCCAGCAGTGACACTGAGGTGTTAACAAACTCCAGCAGCACTGCTGTATCTGATCCACTCAGACCAGCACAACACACACTAACACACCACCACCGAATCAGTGTTACTGCAATGATGACAATGATCCACCACCCATGGGGGTCCTGACCACTGAAGAACAGGGTAAAAGGGGGCTAACAAAGTATGCAGAGAAACAGATGGACTACAGTCTGTAACTGTAGAACTACAAAGTGCACCTATACAGTAAGTGGAGCCGATAAAATGGACAATGAGCGTAGAAACAAGGAGGTGGTCATAATGTTATGCCTAAACTGCTGTAGGGTGAGTGGGCGGGGCTAAACTGCTGTAGGGTGAACGGGCGGGGCTAAACTGCTGTAGGGTGAATGGTGATGCTAAACTGCTGTAGGCTGAATGGGTGGGGCTAAACTGTGTTCCTGGTTGTGACATCACAAACACGATTAATTAAAAATGGGCTCTTTTTGCAGCTGTATAAACTCGGGAGTTAACAGTGCATTTGGACATTTTACTACATCAAACTACGCCAAAGTATGTCGCGCTTGTTTATTTAAAAAGCGAGAATATAATTCGATATTCCATTATATAGACTCATAAATTCAGGTCCTACCTGTTTGTATGCTGCTTCCTGCTCTCCATCGTACCCTGATACAGCTAATTCTTGTTCAGCCTCTTTCAGCTTTTCTTCCCTGTTGACTGATGTGTTTTTTCCCTTCTCGGTCTTTATTATAAATTCACCTCATTTCCCATGTAAAGGCCACACACAGCCATCAGCCTCGTGTGTGAATGCTGATAATGTTACATCTCTGACAGAATGACTCTTACAGGCTCCTCATCATTTCCAGTGAGGCACCTATTAAAAGTTTGGAAGCACCTGGCTTCTCATAATATTACGAATTAGCATGTTTGTGGTCGGTTTTTAATAACTTAACATATTAAACAGAAAGATGTTTGGGTCCTGGCAAAACACTGCAAAACCGAAAAACTGGGAATAATACCAAAGGCAACACAGTTTGTTGTGTTGTGATGTCAGCGCTTCTCAGCATTCAGACCATTTGGGTGTTTAAAACACCTTTTGAGTTTCCATATGAGCTTAAACAATAGTGTGGAAAAGCACGACGCCATTGTATATGGAGCAATTGAAACATATTCTGTGGAGTGACGAATCACACGTCTCTATCTGACCGTCTGATGGATGAGTCTGGGTTTGGCGAATGCCAGGAGAACATTACCTGCCTGACTGCATTGTGCCAACTGTTGTTTTTCAGGGGTTGGTCTAGAACTCTTAGTTCCAGTGAAGGGGAATCTTACTGCTTCAGCAGAACAAGACATTTTGAACAATTGTACACTTACAGCTTTATGGGAACAGTTTGGGGAAGAACCTGTTCTGCTCCAGTATGACTGAGCCCCAGTGCACAAAGCCAGGTCCATAAGGCATGGCTGGGTGAGTTTTTGACTGGCCCTCACAGAGCCCTGACCTCAACCCCATCGTCCAACATCAGTGTCTGACCTTACAAGTGCTCCTCTGGATGAATGGGCCACAGATACTCTCCAAAAACTTGTAGAAATCTTCCCAGAAGAGTAGAAGCTGTTGTAGCTGCAAATGGTTTTAGAATGGGATGTGGGATGAAAATCAAGTATTACCCTGCAAACACAGCGTGTAACAGTTCCACCTCTTTCCTGACCCAACCTCCTTTGCTCTGATTGACAGGTTGAGTGAGTTTGAGGAAACACCCACCAGTGAGCTGACCATTGAGGAATTCATGAGGGTTGATCTGGAGGAGGAGTGTGACCCTCCTTCTTTCAAAAACGGACAGAGGAAGCTGAGGCTGCAAAAGGTCACAGGATTAACGTGTCTGTAGCCCAGTTGTAGCTGGATTGGTTGTACCTGGGAAGGTTCATTAGTTTAAGTCAACAGCAACAAGATCTATGGCTTTAATCCAGTATGAATCTGCAGTGTGTGTAGTTTTACAGTCTGACAGTAATAATTGTGGAGTGATTTTAATCCAGTATGAATCTGCAGTGTGTGTAGTTTTTACAGACTGACAGTAATAACTGTGGAGTGATTTTAATCCAGTATGAATCTCCTAATTAAAGTATGTTTTTAAGCTGTACTATGTCAGCGTAGTGCCGTTATAGCGGTTAAATCATATTCATTACCTTACTGTCATAGGACTATCCTGTAGCTATGAGAGACTACAGTTCATGCATCATTGCACACTAAGATTACACATTGTTATTAATATATATTATTGTTTACTGTCTTAAAGCAGAGTGTGTGCCAGGTTGTCTTGGACTGAATCTTCTTTCTGACTTTCCTGCAGATTGAGGAAGAACTCGCTAAGAAGATAGACGAGGTTCAAGGTAACAGGAGAAATTTACATAAAACATATGCAGCGAGTAAAATACCTCATATTGGTGTATAATAAGTGTTTGAGATGGAGGATTGTTGAGAAATTGCTTTTTTTATTGTATTTGTGCAGGTGAAATCTGCGGCTATCAGGATGAGATTGAAATGGAGCTGGAATGCAGTAGGCCCAAAGCCAGAGGGATCTATGCAGCCTATGGAAAAAATGGTACATCCTTTGCTCACGTACTCATTTAACACCTTTCAATCCCTCATATGTTTCACTCACACACCCCACCACATTATATTATCAGATATACCCTTTAAAACCGAAGTTGTCGTCAGCAACACGTTCACAGCACACTGTCGTTTAACTTTACAACCATTTAAGTTAACAGCAAACTTCAAGTTCTGTGTTAAACCTGAGAATCTGAGCTTTCCATCACCGGCTGTGTTTACATGCAAAGATTTTTGCTAATCCATTTGAATGCATTCAGATTATAAATTCAGACTGAGGTGTTTATATGCTCACTCTACTCAACACTCTAATCAGTCTGATGTAAATCTCCATTTACATACACGCTGCAAGTAATCCGATCCAAATTACACACATGCGTAGAGAACCACTTAGTGTAGGTGTTACCATGACAACGGGCATCACGTGAGTCCAGTCAGAGTGAGACGAGCAGCAGTGAGCAGTGCTTGTGTTTTTAATTGCTTTAAAATGATGTCAGACTCAGGAAAACGTACGTTCTGCGCATGTTTATTCACGTCATAGCTAAAGTTTACACCGTTCAACATGGCGGTGCAGAAACTGATCTGCAGAGGAGACGAAGTTTATGCTCTGATCTGTAAAAGACGGCGGTGGGACGGACGTCCAGCTTATGTGTCTCAGAACACGACGTCTTCCTCTCGGCCTTCTTTAATAAGGACATGTGAAGGACGTTTTTCTGAGTCTGACATCATTTTAAAGTCATTAAAAACACAAGCGCTGCTCACTGCTGCTCATCTCACTCTGACTGGACTCACGTGATGCTGGTTGTCATGGTAACGTCTACACTCAGTGGTTTTCTGCGCATGCTCATAATTTTGGATCAGATTACTTGTAGTGAGCATGTAAACCGAGATTTCCATCAGATTATTGAGTAGTGAGATATAAACACCTCAGTCTTAAGGTATAATTGGAGGGTATTCAGTCGGGTTGGCAAAAATCTTTGCGTGTAAACTCAGCCAGTAAAACTTTGTGTTAACCACATGAAAAAAAAGAAAAAGCCATGTACAGATTCTCGTTGGCAGCTTCCTTTACTCTTCGATGTTGGTTCAGAGTAATGCCAAAACACTACTTATGTGTGATTTATGTTCCTAGTCATTGTTCAAAATAGTTGTTTGTGATACAAGCTAAATAAAAATCTGCATATCAAAATAAACACAATAACAACACAGAGAAATTGTGCTATTAACAGAAAAACTAGATAAAACAGCAGGAATAGGCATCAGCCTTAAAGAGTTAGTAGCTTGCTGTACTGAAAAGCATATAGCAGTGCTGATGGTCTGCTATACCACAAAGTTACAGTCAAAAATCTAAACATGCGCTCAGCCAGCCGCTTTAGGTGTGTGTTCTAAAGGGTTAACACTTTCCTTACTGGTTGATCGGTGCACTGACAGCTTCTGAAGTAGTGTGGGCCGGCGTGTGTTTGTGTTTCATGGAAGCTTCCTTCTCAGTGCTCGTTTTGCACGTCTCTGTTTACGCTCGCTCACTTTCATCCCAATTAACGCATCGTTACAAATGCAAAAAAATGGCCCACTCTGTTCCCTCACTCGTGTTTGATAGTGAGTCCTAGAGATTCCTAATTAATTGCGTGCGCGTGTGGCTGTGTATTTCGTAATTATTTGCTCCCCTCTGCCAGCAGAGTATGAGCTGAGCTTTGAATTAAAGGGCAAATAAAGCAGGCTTCCTCTTTTAATTAAAAAAGCCCTGCTCATTTGGCTCGTTATGTCAGCCTTAACGACATATTCAATCACTCATGGTAACAATACCCAGTCACACGGCTGAATGGCTGAAATGCCGGCGTATCGGTGGATGTGTTGACGGCATTGACGGGCCTTCACTTCGTTCTCCACGCTATTGATTTTGTGCTCCATTTCCAGTACGCTAATTACTAATAGAAGGTTAATGATGAAGGCTATTATTGTTGGGTTCTCTCTGAGGAACACACTGTTTCTGCCTGTAGAAAGCAGATGCCAGAATTACACACCCCTTCTTGGTGCTCTCTTTCATGCAGGCTGTGTGTTATGGTTAGTAATGATGCAGCAGATGTTCCTGAATGTTTTCATGTAGAGGTTTCTTAGTGCGTCTATCCTAATTTCCTATTTTTAGCTGGGTTATTGTTTCATTACACCACTATAACAGTCTTTTATATGATCATGCATTTCCCATAAGATGAAATGTTCACTTTTTGTCTCTTTAAAGGGGTTATTTGATGTAGACGCCTACTGTTATCTATAAAGTTTACATACATATTGAGATTAGAAATTTAGATAGAAATTAAGTATTCTAGATAACATGAACCACATAAGCAAGTCTGTTAGAGATAAACAGCTTAACATAGTTGAAATAAATTCCACTGATTTCTCAAAATTTCTGCATAGTTCAGTCTTTAAGATGTAAACAAAGTCATTCAGAGTGGTTTGGTGTGAAATGTTCAGTTCTAGAGAAATTTTCAGTCAGAATTGAATTATTAGAACAGACGGCGGTACCGGAAATGAGCGAGCAGCATCGTCGTGAGACGCAGCAAAACACTTGAGCGGCGCTGAAACCAGACGTCTTCTTCTGTGAGTCACGTCTTCTTCTGTGAGTTTATTGGCTGGTTGTAAAGCAGAAATCTGATTACTGTCTGACTCATGTAGACCCAGAGTTTCCCCGTTATCTGATTACTCAAGTGCATGTAAACGCGTTGATCAGATTACTGATTTTCTCTAGTTATCGGATTATTGTGCATGTAAACGCACTCATTGTTTTACACCAGTTTTCATGGAAGGTTTTGCCCTAAAATGTATTTTTTAACGATCTGTTTGTGGCGGAGAGGTACATGCAGGGTGGTGTGAGGCAAAATAGTCCCGAAGGAATTTATTACTAGGATTACTATTAGGATTTATCACTATTTTACCATCGTCAGCGTTACATACAAAATAAGACGTGTAGGTTCACTGCTTGTTTTGCATAGTAGATAAAATGGCTATATTTGTCTTGTCTGGACAAGTACATACGGGGTGGGGGATGATATATATATATATATATATATATTTACCCAGTTATTCCTTTATGCCCTTATATTTTTTCCTGACCCCCAGATGATGCCGTCTCCTTGGCGTCGTCCATCTGCACTGATATTGATGAGGAGTTTGAAGATGAAGAGTTGCAAGCAGTGGCGACTCACATGAATAAAAGCCTCTGTAGCGACAGACAGGACAGTGAGGAAGAGGAGGAGCGAGAGAAAGATCGAGGCACTCCACTCAAACGGCCATCCCTGGAGGTCCTGCTGGGGCCGCTGCCCACTGCGGCCAGCCTCGGCCTCTCTGAGTCCATTGATAAGTGTGTCGGGGAGGAGAAGGAGAATGAGAATGAGGACGGTGAGTGAATTTGCATTCGCCATTTTTAGACTTAAAGCGATATTTTGGAGAAAAATCTAATTGATGCAGTTTTCCCTTTACTTCAGATGTGTCCTTAAAATGGGAAAAGTCTATTGTAAGCTGAGAATGGTAGTAGCAGATCATAAACCACACAAGCAAGTCTGTTTGATGTTGCTTAACAACGTCACATTGCAGGCAGATATGTGAAGATTTGGACATGCCCTGCGCTAATTGGTGGGGTATAAGTGTCCATTACTTGTTAGCTGCATTAGCCTCGTTGCTTCAGTGCAAAACTAAAGAGGCAAACTTCAAACACCCAACATGTCTCGGCTGATCGACTGTGTTTGGGGTTGGGTGGAAAACTTTAAATGTGACTTTTAATCAAACTGTCACATTCACTCCTCAGATCATGTTACTGTTCAGCTCTCATCCAGCCCCTCTGACCACACACTCACACTTTAATCACATTCTGTAGAGGAGAAAGGACACAGTGAGAGAAATCACTCCACCATTTCTGTTTAGGCCCTGGAGCAAAGGAACAAAAGGGTGGGAGTTAAAAGAGGAGCAGAAGGAAAAAACAAGGTCACACAGTATCATTAATGCAGTCTTTTTGCATATGAATAAAAAAACCCATCTCCTATCGGTAAACAGTTGTTGCATCAAACAACCATCTCCGTTCTTATGTAGGGTGTGTTTACAGCTTTTTATTTGATGCATATGTAATTACCTGCATACGGGAGATGCTGCTGGTGTGGGATCCAGTTTCCTCCCTTTCAGTGATGCACAGAAAAGTTGCTGGAGTGCTGATAGCTCCCACTAGTGGAGAACTTTCAACCTGCTAAATGAGAGTGAGTGAGAAGCTGGGTCTGTGAGGTGCTTTGCAGTTAAGAATGATTAAATGAACATGTAAGCTGGACCACTGGCGCTCATCGGGTTCTGCGGGCATTTTTACAGTCCGCCACTCAAATTTGAACATTTCTCATTGATTTGAATATTTGACAAATGCTCAGCACTCATGTTGGGGGTAACATGTTCCAGACTGATATGGTAGTATAGATTCAGTGTCTGCTTCTACAACAGCACAGTTAGCGGACTGGACGCTGGTGTAATAGATTATTGGGGAATGGGATTAAAAACAGTACACATAATAATTATAATACAATATTATCATTATTGTTGTTTCATGTATTATGTTTCATTATTTCTGTAAATGTAAATATAAGTATACTACTCCTGTTTTTTCTATTTAACCCTTTAAACAGCGCAGTTATTATTGAGTTAATACTGTAATATTAAGACTTATAATTTAGTTACTGCTATGAATTTTTCAGTGTCTACTACAAATCATTAAAAAATTCCTAAGAATTATTCAGTATCTACTATGAATTATTCAAGAAGTACAGTGAAATATTCAAGATCGACTGCAAACTATTCAGTAACTATTGCAAATGTATTAGTGTCAATTTTGTATTGTTCGGTAACTTCGAATAAGAATTTTCTGAAAACTGCTATGAATTATTTAGCAGTTACTGTTTTATATTATACTATAAATATTTAAACATATTGAGGAGTTAACTCCACTTCAGTTTAAAACCAGCTGAACTTCAGTGAAACCATCCTAAGACCTATTCGCCACAAGGTCTTAGGTTATCATCAGAGAGTTTGTGGGGATCGGTGGCTCTAAGGGGCACCAAATGATCTTAATCAGGCCCAGTTTGTTAGGGCTCAGAAAGGGACCCCTATTTTAACATTTCCATTCTCATAACATTCCAACCCCAACATAATGTTCCTAAACCAGTTAGAGTAAAATTAAAAACCCATACAAGTATGTTCCTTTTCCACAGGCTGTATGCAGGTCTAGCATAATAAAATGGCAGCTCTGGAAAGTTATTAGAGTTGCGGTTGTATTTGTATTGATGAAAATGTGTTTAATCACAGATTTTTTTTTGTTTGTTTGCTTCAACACATGGCTATGAAACAGCCCATAATTTACTGGAACGATAATTAACATTTAAAATTTGCCCTAACCATAATTTACGAAATTGTTCAGTAACTAAGTAATTGTTTAGTATCGATTTAGAATTGTTCAGGAACTCTGAATTATCCAAAAAATTACTATGAATTATTCAGTAACTACTATGAAACTGTGTAAGTTCTGTGTTTGTGAGAATGTGGATCCACATACAGACCCTATCTAAAGGGTTACAAATTCATTTTACATTATTTTTTTTTTTCTTTTATTGAGCTCACCTGATGTTTTCTTTCTGCAGTTGGTGCGCTAGTGCTTTAAAAGACAAAAAGGAAAAAAAAAGCTGTTTTTAACATAATTCACACAGGAAAACAACTACATTTAACTCCCCTAATGCATCCTTAATCCAGCCTTCATGCTTCTTTGAGTCCACACGTGTGATGGTATAAGTTCGTGCTGTGTTCTGGCAGGAACTGCCGCGGAGGCGGGGCTGGCTGATTGTCCGGCTGCTGATTGGCCGAGCCTGAAGGCTGTCAGGTTTTTCAATTGGTCGTTCTGACCGTGGTGTCTTGTGCCGGCCCAGGGGCCCCCCTGTGCTCTTTGAAGCAGTAAGTGGACGCAGCACCTTGTCATTAGCGCCTTCTCTTTCATCCGCCCACTGAGTGAGTGTCTGCATGAATGCACGTGCAGTGTGTGTTTAGTGTGGGCAGTGGCGGTCTAAAGAAAACTCATTACTCTTGTTAAAAGCTCGGTCTTGTGGGCGGGACCCTCTGTGCTTTCAGGCTCTTGTAGCAGCCTGATTACAAAAGCAATGATCATCCATCAGTCGGTCAGCCGGAGCAGAGCCCACTGGAGATCCTCTGTGAAAGCGGACAGATGTTTGCATCTGAGGAAAGATTTACATTTTTGTAACTTGAGCACCTTCGATTGAAACTTGTTGCCTTCTTGTTGGCTGACCACAGCAGGACAGATGGCAGCGTTCTTTGATTTGAGCATTTCAATAAGATTTAATTTGTGGAAAAATTTTTTTTCTTCATTTTTTTCTTGCGGTTGATTTTTGTACCTTGAGATCCACATGGGACGTTTGTGTGGGTTTATATACTAAAAAGGGTCATAATTCATTTTTTTCATTCATTTTTAAACCTCTGTTAATATCTTAGAAATAAACAGGCTGTTTTTTGTTACTTTTTTATGTAAATTACCTCTCTTCTGATTGGCTGCCCTGTATTGCGCCTCATTTGAAAAGCATTCCAGACTGAGTCCTTATAGCCTGAATTTGCGGGGCTAAACTTTTATAGGCTGAATCAGTGAATGTGAGTCAATATGTTGGTTTTTGTGACATGACAAAAACACAGATTTCAAAACTGGTTGTTTTTGCAGCTTTGTTTTCATGTATTGACTGTATGAACTATGAAGTGAATGGCATATTTCAAAACCTTTGTTTCAGAAACGCAAGGGAAATTTGATTTTCCATGATATGGCCCTTTAAAGACACGCGCAGGCCACTTTATCCCGTGTAGCTCCACCTTGCTGGTGCACAGTTGTCCATCTGTTGAAGCACAGTTTGCGTTTGCCTCCCTCTAACCCTTCATCAGTGGTCAGTTTCTGACCACAGAGCTGCTTGGCTGTATTCAAAACTCAGAGACCCTCCCTGATGCCATGTTTCTCTCATGGTACGGAAGGAGAATGCATTATGATTTCCCATTCATGTTGACTTGAAACAGACTCCAGTAGCTTTGATATGACTGATATAACTGTCACTTGTCAACTGTGAATTGTCAAATATGTTTCTGAAGCTCAAATCAACACCAGAAACTTTTAGGAAGTTATAAATAATATAAGTGTTGTAGCGTCCGTGTCTGGGGCAGGATTAGTTGCTGGTTTTGTTGTTTATCGTCTTCATCGAAAGAATTTGTTTTGTAACTTGTTAAAGGTTAAATTTAATGCATTGTGTGTGTTTTATTTTAACTATGATTACGCTGATTTTGTTCTGTCTGTAAAGTCTACAAAGGCTCATAAAATCACTAAATCCACAGAAGTGGACGCTTCCCATGACATCAGAGGTTCTTCTTTATAGTATGAAACCTGACTGCATGTCTCATCAGTGGAACTTTTGCCAAAATTGAAAAATCTACAGTATTTCCAAATGTATTCATATATTTATCGATTATTTAATAGCAACAGATGCAGGTCTGAATATTGATATTGTGTTTTGATACCAATACTGAAACCTGGACTTGGTTTGTATTACAAACCGAAAGTGGGCGTCGCTTCAACCAGAAATGAGTGCCAGGTGGTGGAAGTGGGTTATTTACCACGATGGATTGTAGACTAATAAAGACTCACTGATGTACATGGAACATTGTCTTGACAGCCAATCATGCTTATTTACTCACGGTAAGTAATTCAGTCGATACTATGGAAAGTAGGGATTCATCAATATCAATGCTGGTAGCAGGTTTTGGCCCGATACTGTGCTCATTTACTTGCACTTATACTCATGAAAATGCACCGTTACCTACGTTTCCATACCAGCTGTGACGTAAGCAAAGTGTACACTGCCGCACTAACGAACAAACGCAGTCAAGGAGCCCCCACTCACACAGAGAGGTGTTACTGGCCCCGTCACAGCCAGACACAAAGCCGTCAGTCATTTCAAACACTCCGCCTCTGCAGATTCTCGCCACACACACACGCACACAATCACAATCGCTTCCCCAATAAGCAGGCCAATTAAATGGAGACGGAAAAAGTTGACATTTCCTACCAAAGTCCCTTTATGCCAGGGGTGTCAAACCAGTGAACGGGCCATATTACAAAATCTCAACAAATCTTTGGGCCAGAGAAAAAAAGCTTTTATTTCATTTTTAATTAATGTTGTTCTGTAACCCAAACTGGTCATTGTTTATTCAAAATATCGCTGCTGTCAGTAGAAAACCTTGCATCTCCATTTTTTTGCCTTTTTTCAGACATATTTTGAAAGTGCCTGTGTCCCATTACATCGTGTGTAAATTTCACGAAGAATGGACCG